AATTCCAAGGTCGTAAAAAGCACTGTTGGTAAAACTGGTGTCTTTCCAAAGACAAACTTGACAATAGGAGGCAGGTTTTGGTGGGTGCTTGAAGAATCAGGTAGAGTATGAAGAACGGCTTAGTGATCTACTTTCAAACGTTACCCAACAAAAACCCTATGGATTACAACAGACTATTGCCCAGTCTAGAGTGTTGGAAGATGAGCCTTCTAAGTAGCAAGTCCCTTAAGATACATAGTGGATGCAACCTTGGACTTGAGCCAGCCAACAATAGTGAAGACCATATGGGGCAGGAGTAGACAACATTTAGTTCTTTTTTTTTTTTTAATGGGGTTGCTATGAGTTACAGCTGATTCAACAGCATCTAACAACAGCAATATTTATGGTATGGAAAAACTGGAACAACTCTCATGATTAGTAATTAATAAGAGCAAATTTTAAATAAGCTATGTATATATTTAAGCAATGAATAAAAATGTGGTTGGGCCGTATGAGTAAATGGAAATATATAATATATACATAAAATAATATACTACTAATAATAATATGTAAAATAATGCTAAATTGAGATAAAAATATAAAAACAGGTCACAGAATACAGCAAGTCTTTGTGAAAAGCATAGGTTTTCAATGAAGACAAATAGTATTTAATGCACCTTCTCTACTTCTCTGGTACTGCTTGATGTGTTCTATCAGCTCCCATCGCTCCTGGGACTCACGGCGTTCTGTTTCTGGGATCAACCTTAACCAATGTCTTTTCCTTCCTCCCTTGGACCTTCTCAATCTCGAAGGGAAAGAATCCTCAATGTTCCCCTCTCTCTTGCACAAGCCTGTCTGGCTCATAGATTTTGTGTAAAGATGAGTTAGAAGAAAGCAAAACTCTAGAAAGGTTGAGCATGTGAGGGACCCTGGCTAGTGACTAGGCAGGCCCTTTGACCCTGCTCCCTGCCCTAGCAGCAAACTGTTGGGCCACACTCTGCTGTCTAGGAGTGCTGAGCTTTCCTCTCATACCTGCCTGGCTATTCACCAGATTTCAGACCAGGGTACCCTCTGCCTGTAACTGGTAATACCCTAAAAGCAGCATTAGATAACTATAATGATACTAATTGATGCTGACAGTATTTTCAATATTTTTCATGCAGCGGGTAGTGACAGGCAGTAAGACCAAGAGCTCGTACTTCACACACAGACTAACAATGTCTGCAAAACCCACTCCATTACCACAGAACTGGTTTTGACTCATAGTGACCCTGCAGGACAGGACAGAACCACCCCACAGTTTCCACTGCTGTGAAGCTTTTTGTAGGCAGACTGCCACACTTTTCTTCCATGGAGAGGCTAATAGGTTTAAACCACTGAGATGATCATTATCATTAGAGAACTGAGCCTCAGTGGCTCCTAATGTTTCTACCCACCCACTCCCCTCAAGCTGATTCTGACTCATAGCAGCCCTGTGTAAGGTTTTTTGGGCCTGTAATTCTTTATGGGAGCAGATAGCTCCATCTTTGTCCCACAGGGCTGACCTTGCAGTTAGCTGTGCAGGACTATCAGGGCTCCTCCCTACTGTGTGTACTTTCTGCAGGGTCTCTCTCCAGCTTTTCTCTTTCAGTGATTTGGAGCCAGCATTCGAATGTTTGCATTAGCTGCAACTAATCTGAAAAAGAAAAATG